GATCAATTTTATTAGGGTACACAATATATCACCACACCCGATAGTGTGCCAAGTACTCACCATGCAATTTTAGGCCATTTTGCAAGGAGGGTGAATTTATCCTCATTTCAGTGATGAGGACACAGGCTTAGGTCATTCAGCTAATTAATGTTGGAACAGTGGTGTGAACTAAGGTCTTCTCAAAGCCTATAATTTTTCTAGAATCATATAAGACTCCCATATTTTCTTAGTGTCCAATTCCTCTTACTTCTTTTGATTTATTTTAAAGATTTGTTATATTTTTAATTATGTGTTTGTGTGAATATGTGACTGCAGGTGCTTGTCAGTGCCTTTGGCTTCAGGTCCCCGTGGAGCTGGAGTTACAAGTGTGAGCTGGCTGATGCAGGTGCTGGGAACCAAACTTGCATCCTCTGCAGGCACAGCAAGTGCTCCTAAACTCTGAGCCACCTTTTCAGCAGCTCCATCCCCCTCCCAAGTATGCATGTGTGCACATGCCCTCCTCAGGAACATGTCCAGCTTTTTTAGTACAGGGTCTCTTATAGGCCTTGAGCTCAACCAGTTAGAAGTAGTCTAGTTGTCCAGTGAATCTCAGGGACCCACCCTTTTCTGCTGGCCCCAGAACGAGCATGTGCAGCATTGTGAATGAGTTCTGAGGGTCAGGCTTGGGTCCTCCTCCTCTTTGTCAGGCAAGTGCTCCACCCACACAGCTTCCCCCCAGAGTCCTCTTTCTCTTCTTTCCCTATTAAATGTGCGAAGTACACACATTTCCATTAGCGCAGTATGTGGAGACGATGTCCTAAGTTAAATAAATTAGCTCAGGTAACATTTACAAAAATAAATGTTGTGTGACAGTTCTCATGTATTTCAGGGCTATGAAGGGAGGATAACCTTGAACTCTTAACTCTCCTCTTCCCAAGTGCTGGGATTATAGACATGGGCTTATTATATAACTTGTATTTCTTGAGGAAGATTTCATTATGTGGCTTACGCTGTCCAGAAACTCACTTTGGTCTTGACCTTGCTGTCCTCCTGCCTCAGCCTCCAGAGTGTTGGGATTACAGGTGTGAGTCACGTGCCCTGTTCCATGTGACTTGTCTTGGAAACATGTGGCTCCCGAAAGTGAGCCCGCTCTATCAGTTATAAGTGGTCAGGCACACTCCCTTGCCACCGCCCTGGGTAACTGAAGGGCTGGGGCAGTGCCTTGTCCCGTCTCCCCGCCTTGCCTGCTCACTGAGAAATCTGATCAAGAGCATCCATGTGCCCTCTGCTTATGCTGCTTCTAGGCAGTGATGCTGGATTCCACCGATGTCAACCTTTGGTATAAAATTGGACACGTGGCCCTGAGGCTCATCCGGCTCCCCCTGGCTCGCCATGCTTTTGAGGAAGGGCTTCGGTGTAACCCTGACCACTGGCCCTGCTTGGACAATCTCATCACTGTTTTGTACACCCTCAGCGATTACACAAGTGAGTCGGGACAGAGGAGCGAGGTCAGTTGGGTAAGCTGGTAGCAACCTTGATCTGGGTAGACTTTGTGCCAAACTGAGGAAGAATGGAGATGTTTTTACATACCAGCTCTATTCTGTTTTCCTTTCTGGGTTAATCAGATACTTGTAAGTATTGCAGGAAGATAATAGTACTGTATTCTAAATGATCCCCCTTTCCTTTGTGCATTGTCCTGTCTTTTGGGTGGTTGTTCTTTTGGTTCTTTGAGAAAGGTCTCCTGTGTCACCTGGGCTAGTCTTGAACTCAAATGCTTGCCACATCAAGTGGCTTACTGTCGGACATTTATTTCTCATAGCTTGGGAGGCTAGGAAGCCTAAGATCAGGGTGCCAGCAGATTGGTGCCTGGTCTTGGCTTCTGGGTTTGCCACCTCTTGTATCTTTAAATGATGGGGTGGGGTTGAAAAAACGAGAGGGAAGGGGAGCCCACTTCATGTGTATGTGATTCTAGAGGTATAATTCATCCTGAAGCATTCTTCTCTACCTCTGGGCCTAGCCAGATAGTTGATGTGCTCCAAAATATAATGGTGGGACATTTGTATTATAAACATCCCCTTGTCTATCCCCAAAGTGAGAAACAGAAAAGAAGGAGTGAAAAGTTCCAGATAAACCTAGAACTTAGTAAGGCAGATTTCATGAAGTCTTTAGGTTCAGGAATAATTGTCTTTGGTTTGATGCTCTTGTCCTCTAGGCCACTGGGTGGCAGTGCCGCTCTCATAGCTGAGATGCCCAGCTATTTTGAAGGTTGTTAGCCCACAGCTAATCACTGTGAACTCCTTAGATTCTTTTTTTTTTATTGCCACGGTTGTTAAATATGGACTCACGGGTCAAGGCCGTGCAGGACAGTCATAAAATCTGTTTGCTTCTGGCCCTGGCTGTCCTCCTCACCTGCAGGTGTGTGTCTGGTGTATTCTGGATATTAGTCTAGCAGTCGTTAGTAACGGGGTTGGTTAAGATGCTGCCCCACCATTGTTGTGGTGCAGTCTTTGATTCCAGAGTGGGGCATTCTCCTGGTACTGACCGGAAGGCTAGAGTTCTGAAAGCACTCGTAGCTCCTAAACTGTTTCTCTCCTGCTAGCATGTCTGTACTTCATCTGCAAAGCACTGGAGAAAGACTGCCGATACAGCAAAGGTCTGGTTCTCAAGGAGAAGATCTTTGAAGAGCAGCCTTGTCTCCGGAAGGACTCACTCCGAATGTTCCTCAAATGGTAAGGCCTGCATCATGTCACCATGTGTGGCTGGTAAGCATCAGGAGCATCCTTTGTCCCCATCTCTGTCCTGGTCTGTGTGTAATTGGAGTCTCTGGACACCAGGGCTTCATCACCTGTGCTGACCTCATCAACTGGCTCCCTTTGGCCTGTCTGTGTGTTGTTTGGTAAGGTTAGGGAATAGGGATTGAACTCAGGGTCACACTCCTGCCAAGATTTGTCACCAGTGCTGCCCGAATTCAGTATCCCAAACACGCCCCGATCTTGTCCCACCTCTGCCGCCATGCCTCCAGAGCAAAGCTCATCCCTACCTATATTACCCAGAGGCCCTCTGCAGCTCAGGCTCTTCCTTCTCTCTCTTTACCTGTAGCTGGAGTTTTCTCCAGTCCTGCCTGGCCCACAGTCAGGACAAATCTGTCACCTGCCAGTCCCGCAGCCGCTCAGACCCAGCCAAGTAAACACACAGAGACTTACATTGCTTACAAACTGTATGGCTGGGGCAGGCTTCTTGCTAACTGTTCTTATATCTTAAATTAACCCATTTCTGTTAATCTATAAGTTGCCACATTGCTCTTGGCTTACCGGTATCTTAACATCTTCTCATCATGGCAGCTGGCAGCGTCTCTCTGCCTCAGCCTTCCACTTCCCAGAATTCTCTTCTCTGCTTGTCCTGCTTATACTTCTGCCTGGCTACTAGCCAATCAGCATTTTATTTATACAGAGCAATATACACAGCATTTACCTCCTGCTTTTCCCTCTCTGATTTCTTTGTTAGAGCCGCCTCAGTGCCTGGCACATTCCTGCCTGGCCCTGTGTGACTGTGAGTGTCTGGAGTGAACTAATGAATGTTTCTGGGGAGATTAAGTCTCTCGGGTGGCTGTGTGGAGTAGTCCTCCTGGAGGCACCAGGACAGTCTGGGCACACTGGGAGGGCAGGTATTGTGTCATGTCAGGCTGTAAGTGGTCACCCGAGATCTTTCTGTATTTTGGAGACACCATTGATTTTGGTGAACAAAAATTTGTCTAATGACATTGTTGGAAACAGATAGTTGAGGCTTTCCTTTCCCGTGGCTTTTCAGACAGAAAGGTGACACTATTAATGCATACGAAAACTCTTTGCCCTGTTGTGAATTGTGGAGGGAACAAATGGCTTTTGTGATTCCCAGCGTATGTGGGTATTCGAATGCTGATCACTACCCATTTGAGGTCAGAGTCACACGGTAATTTGTATTCAGGAAAAATCAATTATTGATGGAAGGGTATTAACTTAAATGTATCCCTGTCTGTAAAATTTTAGCACTGACTCTAGTTTAACACTGTAATTTCCTCCTGTTTTCTACACTTTTAGTGACATGTCAATTCACGATGTGTCCGTGAGTGCAGCGGAGACACAGGCCATTATAGACGAGGCTCTGGGGCTGCGGAAGAAGAGGCAAGCTCTGATCGTGCGGGAGAAGGAACCGGACCTGAAACTAGTGCAGCCCATTCCTTTCCTCACGTAGGTCATCCAGTTTCTCTAGGAATATTGGGTTGGCTGGTAAGATACCCCCTACAAAGAAGGGAGAAACCCCAGACCAGATCCGGGCCTGGAGGCAGGGGTAAGGCTGGTGCACAGTGGCTAGAGAGCTGGAGGCATGTACCTACTTGCAGGCTACTGAAAAACAGGTTAGCTCTCTTGAGCATGCCCAGTGTAAACTGCTTGCCCCAGCCACTAGGAATATTCCTGTCCTTCTCAGTCTTCTCTACTGAGAAGGGGAAAGAACACTAACACTTGGCAGCCATCAACCAGGAGAGAACCTGGCACCCTGGAGTTTGTCACAGGTGTGGGCTTCCTGGCTGTGTGTGTTCATAGCAGGGCCAGATGAGATGTAAGATGTGTAAGATGGGCATCAGCATAGCCTTTGTGAGCCCTGGAATGTGTAAGAGAGCCTCTCTTTCCTGGAAGGCAGACCTGATAGTGGTGGCCCTCTGGAGTTGGGGTAGTTTAGCACTGTAGTAAGCTTTGGCATTTAATTTTTGCTTTAAAAATTCTGGTGTTATGGACAAGCTCATGCCTGAAATCCCAGAACTCAAGAGGCTGAAGCAGGTGAGTCTCTGATTTCCAGACCAGATTGCACTGCAGGGTGAGTTTGAGGCCAGCTGCGGCGACATAGTAAGACTGTCGCAAACATAAATATGCACACACAAATTCTGCCGTTAAATCTTGAGTCTTTAAATTTAGCATGTCCTGGCATCGGGTATATAATCCTAACCCCTTTCCCCTCAGTGACCTTACTCAGTCATTGCCGCTGTGGTGTAGAGCCTCTCTCCTGTGCCCCTTCATGGCAGTCCTGGTGCTGGTAGTTAGGTGACCTTGGGGACATTATGTGCTATTCCTTAAAAACTGGCAGCAGCATCCCTCTTTGGTAGGGGATGATGTAATGGAATAGAACTCGAGGGGTCTCTGCTGGGGTGAATGTAAGAATGATAAGCGGCGCTGGTTACTGTGCAGAAAGGTCACGACAAAACCCAGTATCAGAGCTTTATTAGGAGGAAGAGGTGTGTGTAAGAACCAGGCCTGGGGAATGAGGACGTGCAGAGAGCAGAGGGAGGGAGGGAGGGAGAGAGGGAGGGAGAGAGGGAGAGAGAGAGAGAGAGAGAGAGAGAGAGAGAGAGAGAGAGAGAGAGAGGACAGAGAGAACAGAACACACAGAGAGGGTGGTGTCTGTGTCCAGGCGGGCTTAGGGAGCTACACCATGCATGCGCTGATTGCGTGACCACACCACAAGCATGTGGTCACCATCACACAGTGATGTTGTAAGATGCAAGACCCTTTGCTTAACTCCTGAACTAAGCATGTGCAATGCAGCTGGAGTGAGGGCAGAGTTCTAACAGTGAGGAACAGGAAATGCCAGTCACTGCACCTGCTCTGGCTTGGGCTTCTCCACTGTAGCACATGTTGGAGTCAACATTTTGTTGGTTATGATGGTGACAAAATGCTTACTGCCTTCTCCCCGTTCTGTTGAGGTCGCAGTTTCTGGGAACAGTTCTTCTGAATCTATACAGTCAAGTTGGCCTCTGTGACAAGTGCTAACCAGGTATGGTGGCCCTTTCTTTGCAGGTGGAAGTGCCTTGGAGAGAGTTTGCTGGCTATGTATAATCACCTCACCACTTGTGAACCCCCAAGGCCCAGCCTTGGCAAGAGGATTGACCTGTCTGACTACCAGGATCCCAGCCAGCTACTCGCACCCTCTGTAGAGGTCACACCTGTCAGTGTGGTCCAGCCAAGTCCTGTTAGCACCAACCCAGCTGTTGCTGTGGCTGAGCCTGTGCTGTCCTATACCTCTGTGACCACAGCCAGCTTCCCATTGCACAGCCCTGGCCTGCTGGACACAGGCGCTCCCATGGGTGAGTAGACCTTGGGAAGTCACATCTGGAGAGCCTACCTAAGTTGAGCCCAGCAGGAACAAGAGCAGGGGACTTTGGCATCTCCAGGGAAAGGCATCATGCTGGTCCTTGCGGCCTGAGTAAAAATGAGAGCTCCAGCCTGGTAGAAAACTGATCAGCCTGGCCCCAGGGCTAGTACAGAAGCGTTGACACTCAGGGGATGGGGTTCTCGATGCTGCTCCTTGGCAGATTATCTTGCCAGCTGCTAAGTCTTGGCATTAAAGTTCTTCTTCCCCCTCGTGATGTGACTTGGCATGTCCTTGCTGCTGGTCCGGCTTTCCTACTAGATTGACCTTAGAAAACATTAAAGTCGTTACCATGGATGATAGTACATTTTTATTACCACTGAACCTGTCAAAAGTTTTTACTGAAAGCTCCCATGCTTCTGCCACTGTACAGAAGACCGTCTGGCATTTAGAGAAGTTTCTGAATGACTGTGGGCATGGCTGTTTCTTTTTCCTCTGTTCTCTCCATACGTCCTGGTTCTCTTGCTCTAGTCCTGTCATTGGGATTTGTGGGTCTTGGCTAAGGTCAGTGCCACTGGCTCTGCCCATCCCAGGCACATCGACCCAGGCCCCAGAGGCTCTTGCAGTTGGTTAGTACTGAAGGTGAGAGAGTTCTGAGCCCTGGCTTGGGGGTCTCCGCAGCTCACGGAGGATATGAGGGTTCAGGGCCTCAGGAGTCTCTGCTGTCAGAAAGAAAGAGTTGACGGCGGTTAGAGAAGAGCTCAGTGCCGGGGGACGTATAAGCAGTGGGTGTGTGTGTGTGTCGCCCTTTTCCCTGCTGCCATTGTGTCATGTCTTAATTTTCCCTCTCGGTGAAGGTGATGTTTCCGGGGGAGATAAATCTAAGAAAGGGGTGAAGCGTAAGAAGACCGTAGAGGAAAGTGGGGAGACAGCCAAGCGGAGGTCCGCCCGTGTCCGAAACACCAAGTGCAAAAAGGAGGAGAAAGTGGATTTCCAGGGCCTTCTGGTGAAGTTCCTGCCGTCCAGGTACTGCGCTCTGTTTCTGAAGGAAGCTGCAGACTGCTGTCCTTCCGTCTCAGCAGCATTTCAGCCCATTATTGCCCCTCCCTTTGGGTACCGACTACAGAGTGTTGATTTCACTAGTTGGCTTCTTGGGTTTTTCTCTTCTCTCCTGAATACAGGAGCTGTGACTGGTTGGGGACTAGGTACTTCCTGAATTATCACAAGATGAGTGGCTCAGGGGGTGGGGGCACCCACTTTTTCTTGGGGTGCTTCAGGGTTGCTGCACATGCTTATGGAAACCCCGTGGAAGGAAGCCACCTGTCTTTCGGTGGGTGTGTGCCTGCCTGACTTTGTTTTCCATGATTCCATTGCATTCTGAGAAGACGAAGGAAGATCTGGTTCCTTTATTGATTCTTCATGACCCTCAAAGAATCCTAGGGGAGAAGGTGCTGACTCTGAGAAACAGGAGGGACCTGGGCCTCTCCTGACTAAGTCCTTCCTGGTCCTCCTGCTCTGGTCTTGTCTGTTCTTCAGAAGCCCCAGGCTCTCTATCCAGAGCCTTTCTAGGATTGTCGTTCCAGTGGCCGGGCTTTTTGGTACCCTGTTCCTCCACTCTGCGTAGAGTGTAATTTGCTCTGGTCCATCATATCTTTCTGTATAACATCTGGGTGGCATATTTTTAGTCTGCCAGGACTTCCTCTCTCATTTCCGCTGTCTTTGTGAGTTTATGCCTTTTCTCCCTTCACAGTTACCTGAGTAGGGTTTGATCAGTACACCATCAAGAGATCTAGAGTCTTCGGCTTTTGACCAGTGACAATTTATTTCAGTGATGACTCTGTCAAGAGTGCAAGAGGAATCCAGAAGCTTTAGCAGATTATATATCCATTTTATATCAAGATACTTAATCTCGCTTTTTGCCCCCTCCTTCTTTCCCATAAGGATAAAATTCTTAGATAAAGGTTGTTTTCAGTACACAGCTAAGGAGAACCAAGGTGGAGATGCAATGCCTTCTGCTGTGTTTTTCCTGAAATGTACAGGAAAAGGTTTCTCTTTGGAAGAGTGAAGGGTTGTGCTGTAGTTGAGTGGTCCTGTCTTCCTTTTAGCCCTGCTTGGCCTACCCTGCCTTCTTTGTGTGGAGTTAACATCTACTTTATTTGAGTCTGTCTCTGTGAAGTTTGAATATTTGTTACTGTCAGTGTCCAGATAGAGACATTTACAGATGCCTTGAATGTTGTGCTATAGAGGAGCTGGTTGAGAAAGCTACAGGGGTGGCCAAAACATGGTCCTAGGGAAGAGTCTGGAGGGTGGTGTCTGCACTTCGAGGAGCCATGGAGGGATGAAGCTTAGATGGGCTTGACATGGCCCCACAGCACAGCTGTTGTTCTGGGTTGAGCCTCTGTTCATGCTTAGCCCCTCACTCTTGTCAGCCCGAGAGTGTGCCCTCTGGTTCTGCTCCCCAAAGCAGGTCCCCAAGACTGTTGAAAGCAAGCACTTGTGGTTAGTCCTTTAGTTGGGTTGTTTGTATGTGAGTACCTGCTTATGGTCCTCCTCTCCCATCAAGAGATGAGCTTCCTGTTGGCCAACTCCTTGTATTTATGGTTGTATTCTGGTACTGACCTTTGTGCCTGGCACATGACTGCTGCTTAGCAGTTATCTGTTGGTGATATAAATGAACAAGTGTGGGTACAGACCAGTCGCAGACTTGATGAAGTCTGGAGAGAGGCAGCAGCACCTCTTAGAAGCCTGGGCTGTTGGTGTTCTCATCTATCTGTTTCAGTATACTTTATCTTGGCTCAATGTGGTTGTTCTACTGGAGGAGTTGGGGTGCTTTGTCACAGTGAGTGGTATGGCTTTTGTGATTTGAGCATGTTCCATATAGGTTAAGAAAACTGGACCCTGAGGAGGAAGATGATCCATTTAATAACTATGAAGTTCAGTCAGAAGCCAAGCTGGAGAGCTTCTCAAATGTGGGACCTCATCGACTATCCTTTGATTCAGCCACATTCATGGAATCTGGTAGGAATCAGCAATGTGATCATTGATCCATTGAAGGGAACTGTTCCTTCCATCGACCTGTAACCTGCCTAGGTTTTGTTCTGCATGATGGTTCTGGGCTGTCTCATGAGCATTGGTGAAGGAGCTGCCTGTGGTCAGCTGAGTGTCCAGGTGCATACTTGCTGTGCTCCTGACGCTGTGCATTTAACACTGGATTCAGAGGCTTGCCTTTGCAAGTTGAATATGTGTTAGCACATCTATATTCTGTGTGCACTGTGTCCCAGACACTGTGTTTTGTGCATGTGATCTCGTTCACTGCACATGGCAGCACTTGGAGGTCAGCCCTTTTGATACCCATCTTAGACATGGGAACCTTGAGAGGCTTGTTCACCACTGACAAGTGCTGGAGCCGCTCTGAACTCTGGAAAGCCTGGCTTTAGCACTGCAGTATGGCCTTAGTTTACCTACATTGAGTGGGGGAAGGAAGGACCCAAGCTGTCCTCTTCTGAAGAGAAGAGAAACTGGGCACAGGAGGGCCTGTTCATCTTGGTGAGGTTATTTTCCTTCTCTGGACAGAGAAGCAGGATGTGCATGAGTTCCTGATGGAGAACTTGACCAATGGCGGCATCCTGGAGCTGATGATGCGCTATCTGAAGAGCATGGGCCACAAGTTCTTGCTGAGGTGGCCCCCGGGCCTAGCGGATGTCGTTCTTAGTGTCTACCACAGCTGGAGGAGGCATAGCACCAGCCTGCCCAACCCGTTACTGAGGGACTGCAGCAACAAGCACATCAAGGTTGGGGCCTCTTCAGGGCCAGTGTCAGTGATGCTGGGAGACAGTGGCACGGGGCTTTGACGGGTGCGGGGCTGATGTGTCCAGCCCACTTGCTCTACTTACTTCTGGGTCTGGAACCTGGGCTATCGTGGAGTTTGAAGCAGGGAGCCACATGGCTTGTCTTGTGTCCCAAAGACCCCTAGTGGAATACTCTGGGGGTGCGAATGAGTATAGCAGACTGGAAAGAGGCTGCTGCCAATTGAGCCGTGGTGGCGACAGGTTCCATTAATGGCAGTGCAGAGGAGTTGAGGTTCGGAACACAACTGGCAAGATACTTGGATTGAGTAAGAAGTAAGAAGAAGGAAGCCACTGGGGACGGTGTCTAGTGTTGTTGACTGAGATGGGAGGGCTTGCAGGGGAAGGAAAAGGAAGCCTTTGGCTGTATTGACAGGCTAGGAACTATTACTAATTTGTACAAAAATGTTTTTATGTGTGTGTGTGTGGTATTGGGGCCTTGTGCACGCTGGATAAGACCTCTACCACTGAGCTATATTCCCAGCCCTATTCATATATTTATCAGTTGAGAAACCAGAATAGAAGCGAGGTAGGGTGCTTAGGGGAGTAGTGGAGTCACCCAGCAGTTGGGAGCCTAGCCTTGCTCGACTCTGTCTACGGTCTTCTCTATCACAGGTTCCTGCTGTGGTGTTTTCTAGAGCTCAAGGAGACAGGCTAGCAGGCCCACTTCTCTTGATGAAGGTGGTTGAAGGTAGAATGCTGGGTACTGAGGTAGGAACTGGAGAGCCATCTATTTTAATTACTTTTATACTGCTGATGAAACACCACGATCAAGGTAACTTAAAGAAGGAAGGCTTATTTGGGGCTTAGAGCTCCAGGAGGGTAGGAGTCCATCACCATCATGGCAGGCAGGCATGATGCTGGAGCTCAACTGAGATCTCACATCTCCAGCCACAGACCGTAAGCCAGACCTCAAACCTGTCCCAGTGACACACCTTCTCCAACGAGGCCGTACTCTGTAAGTCTTCCTAAACGGTTCCACTAACTGGGGACCAAGCAGTCAAGTGTGAGCCTGTGGTGGCCGTTCTCATTCAGATACCACAGGACCCAACCCAGGTGATCGTTCTGGTTGAGAGTCAGGCTGGAGTTGATGTGTCTGCAGAGCCGCTGTTTCCTCACCGAGCAGATCTCACTGGGCTACCCCCAAGGAGCTTTATTCTCCCCAAGAATAATGTGAATCAGCGGGAGCCAGCATCTGAGGTCCAGAAATGGGACTGCCTGTTTCCCAGCTGTGCCTGCTGGCAGCACCCCATCACCCAGTCTTAGCTTCCTTAGTACCCTGGGATGACGCATCACATTGCTGGCACTTTTGAATGTTGACAGTGAATAGCCTGTGCCTGGCCTGGCCGAAGGTGAGGTGACAGACAATTGCTTCTTCCCCAGCTAGAGCCATCCCTTGTTTTTTCTAAATACCCTAGCAAGTAGCCATGATTGTCATTTAGTAAATAAAAAACAGGTGGAAATAAGAATTATGTTTTCATCAAAAGTAAATTTAAGAGCAGCAAGATAAGATACACCTCAAAGTGCTTGTTGAAGAGGCCCTGGCTACCTGCGTTTGATTCCTGGAACCCATGTAAAGGTGTAAGGAGAGAACCACCTCTGCAGAGTTCTCTGACCCTCCACGCTCATGCTGTAGTGCGTGCACACACACACACACACACACACACACACACACACACACACACGCGCGCGCGCACACACACACACACACATACACACACACACACATATTCTAATACAACATTTTAAAAAAATTGTATACATAAATAAATTTTAAGCAGTTTTATAAAAAGCAAATTTAATGCTGAGGATGTAGCTCAGTTAGTAGAAAGTTTGCTAAGCATGCACAAAACTCTGGGTTAATTCCTTAGCCCTGGAGCAAACAGTTGAATATGGTGGCACATGTCTGTAAGCCCAGTACTTGGGCGGTGTCAACAAGAGGTGCCGAAGTTCAAGGTCAGCCATTGGCTACATAGTCATTTGAGGCCAAGCTTGGAATCCCTGAGGATTTTAGTTTGGTCACCTCGTGATTTAGTAAATCTTTGTGAGTTTATTCCCACACTTCCTGCCCTTGTCTTACAGGACATGATGCTGATGTCTCTATCCTGCATGGAGCTCCAGCTGGACCAGTGGCTACTGACCAAAGGCAGAAGCTCGACAGGTAGGAGGCATCTGTGTTCTTGATGTGGTGATTTTCTGAACCCCCGTAGGTTGGAGGAAGCCAGAGTGGTGATGCTGTGTGTGTCTCCCGGAGGGTTCTCAGATCATTCCTTTAAAATCCCTCCTGGTAGACTGTAGGTAAGTTTAGAGTTCGGTCAGTGAAATTAGCAGCCCGCTTCCTCCTAGCTCTCATGTTTTCTGCAACTCTGTATCCTGCTGCTCGGGGCTATAAGTCTTTGAGGACTCAGGGTACCTAATCCTGGACACTTGTGGGCTACTATAGGGAGGGCTGAAGGTGGCCTGGGGGGAGCGGGAGGGTGTTTGGATGATGTACCTGAAAGTGTCACATTGGCCTGATGTTTTCAGTGTCTCCCCGGAACTGCCCCGCTGGTGTGGTGACTGGCAGGTTTGGGCCTGACTTCCCGGGAACCCACTGCCTGGGTGACCTCCTGCAGCTGTCCTTTGCCTCATCTCAGCGGGACCTATTTGAGGATGGCTGGCTGGAGTTTGTTGTCCGTGTTTACTGGCTGAAAGCACGTTTCTTGGCACTACAGGTTGGTTCCATGTCAGAATGTGCCCTGGCACCTGACCGGAAGGGCAGAGAACTGGCTATATTGAGGAAATGTACATTCATGACTCTGCTGGACTTGGTGGGAGGAAGTGAGGCATGGTGGTGAATTGCCAGCATGTCAGCCATCCAATGGCTGCCATTCTGGAACGTACCTCAGGGCCCACCACAGGGCTTTGGGAGGGATCCTGTGTTCCCCAGCAACTCCTACTCCAGACTGTCTTGATGGATCCTTTATATTTTCCTAAGAATGCTCAGGAAGTAACAGGAGAACGAACAGGGCACTCCAAAAGGAACTACTTACCTGCTTTTTGAGGGTCTAGGCAGGCTTCTCCTTAGAGCCTAGGTAGGAAGGCCAGAGTGGCTTGGCTGTTCACCGGTACCCATCACTGCTGGCTCCTGGTGCACTGGGAGAGGGTGTCTGTCAGAGACGAGTGTGTCAGAGACGAGCGTGTCAGAGACGAGCGTGTCAGAGGCGAGGGTGTCAGAGGCGAGGGTGTCAGAGGCGAGGGTGTCAGAGGCGAGGGTGTCAGAGGCGAGGGTGTCAGAGATGAGTGTGTCAGAGATGAGTGTGTCAGAGACGGCCTGGATCCCAGCAGCTGCAGCAGCTCAGTGTGGGGAAGCAGCACAGTTAATGTGAAGAAGGTCAGGTCTGGAGTTAGGACAGGCCTTGGTTTTAACTCTGGGTCTGTGCTGAGGTGGCATTGGTGTCGTCTTCACCTATGACATGGTGAATGATGCTTTGTCTCACAGAGGTGTGGTATGGGTCACTCCTTATTCATTAGTCATTCAACTCATGTTTGTTTAGCTCCACTTTTCTGGAGAGCCCCTTTTGGTGGTGGGTGAGGGCACAGCAATATTCAATTAAAAACTTAGTGGCACATGTCTGTAATCCCAGCACTTAGAGGGAGAGAGTTTAAGGCCAACCTGTACTACATAGTATCAGATTAGCCTGGACTACAAAACCCTGTCTTTTAGCAAATAAACAGAAACCAGCTTAAGGACATCTGCGTCTACTGAGATCAGGAATGTATGGGACCAGACAACACAATTAGCTCTCTACTTTTTGCTCCCATTTCTTGGTTTTTCCTCTGACTAGGGAGACATGGAACAAGCCCTGGAGAACTATGACATCTGCACAGAAATGCTCCAGAGCTCCAGTGCCATCCAGGCAGAGGCAGGGGCTGAGCAAGGGGACATTGTCATCCGGCTGCCCAACCTTCACAATGACTCCGTTGTTTCTCTGGAGGAAGTGAGTAGACGTTTTTAATGGTATTTTCTTGGTGGGAGACTTACTCTGCGTCGATCTAGTCAGACTAGACCTGATCTGCTCCTGTGGAATAAGAGATGCCTGCGTGCTGGCATGCTGAGCAGAAGGTCCTGGATGAGGGCAGAGCAGGTCTAGGGAGACAGTCCTGGCACAGACTCCATTGGCAGAGAGCTTGTCCCAGCGGCAAGTGTGGAAGCTTTGACCAAGTGTGATTTGGAAGTGTTGTTGCTCAGCCCCAGCAGGACTGGAGGGAAGTGCTGGCTGTGCAGACCAGAGCTGATCTGGCTGTGGGACTGGAAGAGCAGTACAGTGTGTGTGCCAGGCCTCTTTGGATGGCTCTCTTGTCACAGCGCTCCCTCTGCCCTGCTGCAGTTCCACATCTGATGTGTTCACGGGGCTGCAAGCTTCTACCTCCCTCTACCTTTGTTTCAGGCTAAGACCAGGTGCTCTGCTGCCTATGCCAGAAAGGGCCCTGTGGGTCAATAATGTGTGTCGACTCCTGGCTCATTCTGAGTCTGTGGCAGCCAGGCAGCCATTGGTTGTTGAAGTTGGGCTTTTTGAACTGTGACCAGGAAGCTTTCACACTGTTTTGGCAGATACTATTCAAGAACTCCGCTGCTTCTGCAGTGGCTGTGTGTTTGGTTTTAAAGACTTGAATATACCTTGGTGTTAGCATAAATATTTTTGAAGGAGTATGTGCATTGTGTGAACACAGATATTGTTGAGTGGGGAGTCTAGTATGCTTTTGCTGAAGCGGAGTGCTAGAGTGTAGTCTTGGCT